AGAAGTACTCAATCCTATTGGATGTGATCAAAGATCACTCGCGAAACAATTGCGATCTGATTACCGACTTTGAGTGGACGGGTGTTATACACAAACAGCTGACCGCCAAAGGCTTCAAGAACTACGACCCGAAAGTGTGGCACAACTGTTACCAGACATATGTTCACAAATACGTTGAGGTATGAATTGTCAATTGCTTTAATCATTCATTTTAACCATACATTGACTGATTCTAATGGTTTGTCGTCCATTCCAGGCGCTCAACCGATACGACTCGATATGTTCGGCAAAAGACAATTTCGTATACTTCGAGGAATTCAACGAAATGTATTTCAATCACCGAAACCCGGCGTTCATTGCGGTAATGAACGCGCGATCAAAGTTTTTATTGGCGTTTTTGAGGCGGTGGCGACACGAAGACACTTCCAACACAATGCCCGACACCGAAGACATCTCCAAACTGAAGCGAACGGTCACTCGACAGCAAAAACTGATTGATTTGCGCAAAGAGACCATCGTTTTCCACAAGAAGCTCGAGAACAACGTCCCGAAGATCAAAGTTTTCAATCTCATCGTTCAGGCCATCGCCGCTCTTAAAGGACATCTCAGCGAACCCGGCCTTTACGTCAAGATATCCCGTATTCTGGCCGACAGTGGCCTCGACTGGAATCACGACGACTGCGAACAAGCGCTCAAAGAGTGGATAGTTTTCTACGACGAGGTCTGCGATTGTGTCCACACTTTTATGTCTTTAATGATTGATTTTAATGTTTTGTTTTTGTAATCATTAGAACTATTATAATTACAAGAATGCGATGAAAGCCGACAACAGAGTTGTGGAGTATATCTACGAGTTCTTGAATATCATAACAACCGTACGGTTGGACACTATCTTCTACTCGAATCAGAAGATTACCGATTGTCTCGAGTCGATCGCCAGACATACGGGCAAATCGACGCCTCGTTGTCAACGGCGGCTCAAAATCAATGATAAGAATATCGATAAGATTCTGGAAGCGGTGCGAACTGAGCAGCAATTGAATAGCTTTAAGAATTCAGATGATATTCAAATCATTGCCGTATTACCGGCGAAGAAGCCCAACACTTCCAACGAATCTTCGGTCACCAGTAAAGCCAAAACCACTAGTGGTTCGTCGATCACTGGAAAGTCCACTAAGACTTCCCCGAAGACACCGAAGGCGGAGACCACTAAGACCCGAGACAGTAGTCAAAAGAGTTCGTCATCTAAAAAGTCTTCCTCGAGTTCTACGAAAAGTGATGATAAGAAGTCGTTAAAAGTGCCAAAACGTGAACACAGAGACAGTAAGTCGTCGACTAAGAGTAGTCCCAAGTATAAGAGGAGTCGACACGAGTCGCCGCCGCCGCGGGTCGACTACAAGAAGTCGGCCGACAAAAAGGTCGTCACCGGCGATGACTGTAACCATCATATGAGTAGCGGTGATATCAAGAAATACTCGTTCCTATTCTCAGACGCCCGCAACTATTCGCACAATAACTGCGATCTGATTACACACTACGAGTGGATCCACACAATCAACTATCGTATGGAAAAACAAGGCTTTAAGGTCTCGTCGCCCGAGAGCTGGCGCTTGGATTACAGACATTACACGATTGTCTATTTGAAAGTAATGACAAAAATGCTTTAATTATATCATTAATTTAGTATTAATTAATTTTTTAATCCTATTAAACACAAGACACTGAATGACTGCAAGAGTGTGGACAGCGCTCAGAAGGCGTTCCCATTGTTTAAGGACTTAAACAACAATTATTTCAATTCAAATAACGCCTTATATAAGGATATAATGACTGCGAGGGAAGAGTTTGCGAAGAGATTACCGAAATTCAAGTCCGAAGCGGAGGAAGAGCTGATCCGAACGATACAGAATCAGAGCTATAACGCCGACCTTCACGACCATCGGCTTCGATGCTTTCAGTCAGACCTGGAGAGCCGTATCGATGAGATAAAGTGTGTCAATCTGATGGTACAGATCATTGATCTGATCCAACGCAACAACAAGATTGTCGAGAGCGGCGACATATTTCAGAAGGTGTCGGAAGTGATGTCTGTCACCGGCTTTCTGGTCGGCAAACAGTTGAGTCCCGCGCAGAGCTCGCAGTGGCGGCCCTATCAGTGCGAAGAGACGCTCCGCTATTGGACTATATATTATAATCAAGTATTTCATTCATTTAATTGCCACTAAATGTATGTTAAATGTAGCCCTTATTTGTCGCCCACTTTTTGTTAGCACTTGGAGTTATACGAGTCGGCGCTCACAAACCGCCATAAGATAGTCAAATACGTGTTCGACTACTTGAATATCATACCGGAGTTTCTGACCAATGAGATTAACGTCCGAAACTCGTATTTGTTTAGCGACACCGACAGCGCAGAGGAGCACAAACTGACGGAAGCTCTGGTGACGATCCGAACCCTAACCCATAAACACACTGTCAATCGACTCTATATCTGCGCGAAGGTCTCCAATGAGATTAAACTCAAGTGCGACGACACCTATCGATTGGACACTGACTATCGGGGTATCGATAGTAGCTTTAATTCAACCGATTATTACAATACTTACGATCATAAGAGGCCTAACGCTGGACCGGCGGCTGATCACAAAAAAGTATGAATTCATTCATTATTGTATGCGTTAAATGTGTTATTTATTTTTATTACCCCCTTATTTGCCCCATTGTTTGTATTAATGTTTGGTTTAATTGTAATTAAATATATGGATTGCAATGAAATGTAATTAATTTGTATTTTTCTATATCGAAAAGTTTAATCCTCATTACAAACCGTATATGAATTGGAATTACTAATGATATGACAATTCCATCACATCTGCTGCTCATTTGCTGTTGACGTGAAAATATGCTGTTTTACTCTTCATTACTAATAATTTAACTCTAATTATTATATTAATTGTTTCGATGATAAGTATAACGATATACTGTATATAATATGTGTTAAGTTTAAATTAACGATATGTACAGTATATTTCATATATTGAAAATGTATTTATATTTAATGATTTTTTGTAATAAAAATTGTATTTTAAAATATATTATTGATAACAAAATGACAATTGTTTCGCAAATGAGCTAATTTTGCTGATTTAAATGATATAATGTGTCGACAAACAGACTTAACCAAACTTAATGTTAAGTTCGCTGGAAAACTATATACAAACACTGTATGTCGAATGTTGACTGGAAATCTAATTAACATTTAGTATTACAGTTAAACCTTCCGATTAAGAACTATTCGGGACACATGAATAATGTTTGACAAATGTTTGTTCGAGTTATAGAAAGTTCGAGTTATGGAAAAATATTGAATTATTTATATATAAAAAAGTTTGTGTTATAAAGGATTTTGTTTTTATTGACAATTTTTTTGCTGCTTTGCAGCATTTTATTATAAAGTAATTGTAGTAATTAAAATTAATTAAAAATAAAACTACAATTTAGAAAAATATCTGATAATAAATGATCACGTTTAGTATCTATATTTTATATGTTGGTAAAAAGTTTGAGTAGTGTTGGATGCAGTAACTGTGTCATGTAACGTAACCGGAGCATATTCATAACATTATATTCATATTCATAATGATATTCATAAACATGATCAGTAATTTACAAATCATGGTTACTTACAAAATATTTGTTATTTTTACCTTATGAAATAAAACTTAAACATAGCCATGGTATTACCTGGTACATATACTGTATATATTTTATAAACGATATTTATAATTATTTAGCTGCATCTATTAAGCAGTTATTATAATTTTGGTTACATATAATTGTTTTTGAATAAATTATGAATGATAATCAAACTACTGCCAACAGGTCCATATATGACCACGCTAATATTTTCTACAAATTCTATTCCATGTAAGTTCAGTATATTATATATTTATAAAACAATTACATAATTAACGAAACATTTGAGAAATTGTTTATCACATAAAATAATTGAACAATTATTTGACTTAAAATAAATTTATAATATTTGATCATTCATATTTAAAACTGTGTTAAATTTGCCACAATTTCACTGATCAGATGGACGTTTCCGTTGTTTATAAAGGGCCTCAAAAATGGCATTCAAATCAATGATTTGGGAAAGTGTCCCAAAAGTCAACGATCGGAGTATTCATTAACTCAATTAGAGAAGTATATAATTATTGTATTATGGTAAAAATGCAACCGTCTATACTACACTACAAGTGATTAATAAAAGTTATAATATGAGGTAAAAGTAAATAAATTTAATTTAATTTGCAATTTGTAGTCTATCTACATCAAAACACAAATCAAAAACTTTAAAATGTTTAATATTTTGTTAGAATACTTTCACTATTATTATTTTGAGAATTTTAAATGTTTTTGACAAGACTTTTTAGTTATATTTCAATTGTCTTTGTTTAGTCAAATCCCATAATATTAGCATTGCCATAGACTTAGCGTTACACAACTTAACCTTATGTCATTAACTTAATGTAATCCCATGTTAAATTGCATAGGGTGGGGGAGGGGTAGCCGCGCGATCCTAGCTCAATCCGCCCGTAATCTTGTTGTTTTTTTATAGAAATTGGGAAATTGAATTATTGACACCTAATCCCAACCTTACGAGAGCACTGGTTAAGACATATTTGCCGTATCTATATATGCCATTGTTATTTCAAATGATCAAGGTATTAAATCAATACTGATGAAATGTGACATTATTGTTTGTCATTGGCTAGATACGACGTGTCGGGGGCACTCCTACTTATTATAGTACAATAACTTATAACAATTATATATTATTTGTACCGTAATATCATTTCAATGTGCCCCTGGTATTTCCAAAGTTATAGTTCTAGTCATTTGCGTTTAGAATATAATATATTCCATATTATAGTATAATTAGGGATTATCCCGACACGCCGTAATTAGTTATTATCATTAATAGTAATTTGATTATTTCTAAACTACAATCATATTTAGGACTTGACAGACATGTTATCAGTGGTGTTGAGCGCTTGGCTTATCCGATACTTTTCGTACCCGGAATCGGATCCAAATGCCGTGTCGTATATGACTGCGTGCGGGTCTGCGACCGGACTTATAATCGCATCGCTACTAAAAGTTCTACTCTTTCATCCGTATTGTCTTATGTGCTATAAAACAGCGGTCAAAATGAGGGTCAGTTGGTCTGCACTCCTATACCACAAGTCTCTGCGACTGAAGACCACAGCTTTTGAGAAGACAACTATCGGACAGATTGTGAATCTCATCACAAACGATGTCAACCAATTTGATGAGGTTATCATCACTTGTGTTCAATTAGTTGTTATAAATTGTAAAAATAACTAAAAAATTAACTATTTTTTTATTGTTCCGTTTTCGGTCATCATTTAGCTATTGTGTAGCTCTGTATTGGTGGAGGATGAAACGCCCGGGGTGCCCGTGGTGCCCGGGGTGCCCGGCCTGTCTAGGCGGTAGTTGGGTCGACCTAAACGCCGATCAGCTTAGGGTCGGGCAGTACATTTTTCCGTAAATTTGCAAAGTTTTACGGAAATTTTTTAAAAGTGTTTTTTATATAAAATACAACGTATAACACATTTAAATAAATTTTTAAGAAAAAAACATAATTTT